AAATCTTTGTTACAGAGAGCACGAGGGATCTGTGACAGCAAACACCTGGCCGCCGAGCTTCAGCACGTCAAGCAAGTTCTGCACGAAAACAAGCTTCGGGTCCCGCGCCTACGTCACAATGACCGAGTGAAGCCGGCCACAGTCGAGCGTGTGCCTGCTGTACCACCATATGTCAGAGGTGTCACAGACAAGATTGGCTATATCTTGAAGCGAGCTTCTATTAGAACATTCTACAAGCCGCCGAAGAAGATTAGTCAGTTCCTACCATCCGTCAAGTGTCATATTCCTCTACAAGATGCAGGAGTGTACAAGCTTGATTGTGAATGTGGTCTCTCTTATATAGGACAAACCAAAAGATCAATTAGGACCCGCGTAAAAGAACATATAGCTGATGTGAAGCATCAACGTTCCGGGAAGTCTGCAGTTTGTGATCATATCCTGGACGGCCCCAACCATTACATCAGATTTGATAGACCACAAATCCTCGCGAAAGAACACCGATTCCTACCAAGGATGATACGTGAGGCTATTGAAATTAAAAAACATCCTAATTTTAGAGAAGGAGGCTGGGTACTACCACCTGCTTGGGATCCTATAATCAATAAAATTAAAACTAAACCCAAGCATACCACTGCAAGACCTCAGGACATAGTCAGTTCATTTTGCATAGATCGGACCATAAACAATAATTAAAAAAGCTGAAGGTACTCCGGGTTTAACAATGACATCGGGACGTCAGTCATCTCAGTCCCCCGTGACCATGGGTGCTGGAAAGCGCCCGAAACGTCGGGAATTAAAAATAAAAAGTAAAAATAAACGCGATAAAATCCGTAAAAGTAGTTTTAATCTCGTAACACAAATTATCTATTGAAAATTAATAATGAATTGACTACATCAAATCAAGAAGTCGCAGCGGTGTTTAAGAAATATTTCACTGAAATTCCTATTTTGACAACAAAGTCATTGAATAGTTCTCCAACTGTCGCCGACTTATTACTCAAACAGAATGTTAATACGTGTTTAAAAGAAATCAGATTTGAAAAAGTATAACCAATATATATTGCTAAATATTTCAAAAACATTAATGTAGGTAAAGAAAATCGCAGATTTATGAGGTATGTTAGTCATTGCGTCCATATAAGATTTAAGATGGCATACGCGATTTGCGTCGAAAACATCATGTTTTAGGGTTATTTCAAGGGCGATATCGTAATGATGTGAGCGGATTATTTGCAATTAATCGAATTAAAAAAAATAAGTTCAACAATCATTTACCTTTCCAACAATATTTTTTATTTAGGATAGGGTGACAAACGAGCACACAGTCCATCTGATGGTAAGTGGTTGCTGCGGCCCATAGACATCTACATCTATCCTCGATTAAAAATCATAATGCAGATGCGTTATAACCGGTGAGGGCTAATATGGAATGCCTCGTTTCCAGTAAAAAGGGTATCCGGTTCTCTACACTCATCCGGTTCTAAACACAGCAGCATTAAGCTACTATTTTACGCTGGTATTATGTGAGAGTGTGGTCCTACCTCGGTTGCACCGACCCATTCGTGCTACAACTGTACTACTAATATTACAGCAGCATGGCTCTACCACGTATAAAAATCTTTATACCATTTATGTTTAACATGATTGTGAGATACGATTTCATGCGTCAAAACGTTGGATTCTTGATTTTTAGGCACTAGTATAAGATATCTACCCGCTTTGCGTTTAAAACATGCAATACAGCACCAAGGCAATGGGTGCGTTCGGCAGAAAAAAGCGCTAGCAAGCGCTTGTAAGCAAAATGGCGATCGTAAGCGGTAAGCGCTGTCAAATCGTAAGTAGCTATTTTCCTCCAGGACACGATGTTAGTTTTAACCGGGGAATCTAACCTAATTTAAATATATGTTTGTAAAGTATTCATATTAAAAACTTACCAATCATGAGTTTTTAATAGCATGTATATATTTATTCATGTCATTATATTACTTAAAACTAATATTGCACAAAACAACTTATAAACTCTACTTCAAAACAAACAAATTAAATAAGCAAAATGGCGGATTGTGTCAGCGCTACTGAAGTAGCAATCGTGTCCTGGCCGAAAACTATTTTAGCGCTTATAAGCGCTTGCTAGCGCTTTTTTCTGCCAAACGCACCCATTGTTTTCTGTGTACTTATATTTGCATACTAGAAACCAAAATCTTCTAATTAAATCGCAACTTTTCAATGATACCTCATCCCAATCAGCGACATCTAGTGAGCATAAGATAATAGGCATTTGTTTATTTTTTAATGTCTTTCATTTAACAGCCTTGCCTTTTTAATATCACCTAGCGGCATATATACAGAGAGAGAAAGAATGAGTGATATTGATATCACACAAACAGTTTATGTTGGAAGTTCAAATAACAACAACATTTCTTATGGCCGATTAATTTCAGAACCGTCTCTTTCTTTGAAGAAAAGCAATCTTCAGAAATTAATGGTCATATACAAAGTTTATTGCTCCTAAAGTTCACCACTTAAACGTAGTTTTTCTTGGTAAAGTTATTGATGTAGCTTTGATAGATTACTTTACGAGTTTTCTTAGAGGAAATGCTATTAATTCCGTTTCGCAAATAACTAATTAATACGGTATAATTCTCAATAAGTTTCAAATATATTATTTCATTCGCATCATAGTCGCATAGTAAATTTAAGTAAGGCTTAAATTAAGTTTGGTATAAAGGTTAAAGAGGGCCTGTATATTGATTAAAACTACTTTTACGGATTTTATCGCGTTTTATATAAAATCCGTAAAAGTAGTTTTAATCAATGTATAGTGTTCGCGTAAATATAAGAAATCATTAAGGCCTGTATAATTACAGGCTATGAAACATTGCAACTTAGACCTCATCAGTGACAACACATCTGTATCCGTCTTTGTTAGAAGATATTCATGGATTGTAAGAGCCATCAAGTGGACTGTTAGTAGTTTTGTCTCTTAAGTTTTATAAAAAAGGATAGCTCCCGTCGGAAATGCGAATACACAGCAGAAGTAAAACACCGCCAATTTTCTGGCTCAAGGATTTCCAATATGTTCTCTACAAAAAACCTAATAACTGTATTTGGACCGACCCAACATTCAACCACATGATGAGCAATCGCACTTACGAGCTTTAGACCAACGTGACAGTCAAAATGGAGGAAATTATTTTATAATACGCACGCAAAGTCACAAGCAAATCCAGTAATGAAATCTAATATATAGAAATTAATATTGGTTTTTTCATATTTTTGCGTCGCTATACCGTTCTTTAGATTGCGGTAAAACTTTGTCAACATATTTCTTTCACCTACGTGAAGGTTTCAAGGATCGTACAATTAACTAACAGTAACGTGCACCAGGCACCTAAGTCTCACAGAGCCGTGGTAGCTCAGATGGTTAGCGATCGCTGTAAATTTAATACAACGCGAGTAACCCGGGTCCGACCCCCGCCGACAGCAATGTAATTGTTAATTGCAATTTTAAGTGATAATTTACTACGTGACCGGCGGTGAAGGAAAACCGTAAAACCCTCTCAGAAATGAGGGGGAGGCCTATTCCCAGTAAAGGGGCGCGTATATAGGCTGTATTTCACGATTATTTCTTGTGCGGCTGGTACCACCTAGGTACCAACTTATAAAATTTTTCATCACATTTAATACATTACTTCAATTAAGATAAAAGTAAAATGTTTGCATACTGATTTTAATTACGTTAATATGTTGATGCAGTTGGTCCCGGCGAATGTTTTTATCTTAATATTTTTTCTATATAATTTCTCCTCTGTATACTGTATAAAACAGAAATAGGGATTTTTTTTTTAATTTATTTATTAACATAGTAAATACAATTGGTTCAAAAAACATTAAGTTAGCCAAACTGAGAATACAGTTTATTGGCGAAACTGCACTCATTAAGGTTTACAATTGCATTTTAATATTTCGACACATGCAAGGAAAAAGATCGTAACTGATTTTTATCAACTTTACAGGAGAGCGCGTCAAAGATTCAAAAAATTCTTATATACATAGTTCTGTTAAGTCCTAGCGCCATCTCACCACGAAAATTTAAGTTAGCAAAGGAAAATCTACACTTTCATATCATTAATATGTTGTTAATATATGTATTCTATTATTTTTTATGAGTTACAATGACATTACATGACATCAACTTTATAAAATGACATTGTAACTGAGACATACAATTCAATTTTGTGTTAATATTTACTTCATTAAGTGAAAAACAATGTAAGTCTGAGATACAATGCCAAACATGTATTTTTATGTGTTTTTTGAGTTAATGTAAGAATAAAACATTGTGAAATAATTAGGAAAATCTTTATTAATTTTAACTATAAAAATCTCAAAATGCAAGGAATAAATCATGTTGACACACCAAAACAAAGAGTCTTTCATAGTTAAGAAAATATAATAATAAAAAATGTAGTTTTGATAATTTTGGTTTGTTCTTGCTTATGTTTTAGTATAAGCTTTATTTAATTTTCTTTTGAAATCTGTTTAAGGTACCTATCCAATCAACTTTAAGATAAGCATTACAGTGAGGTCCATGAAATTCTGAATATCACAATTAATAACAAACTTTAAAATATTTAAAGAAACAAAAATTACAAATTTAAGCAACAGAAATTATTACAATTATTACTCTATAAACAACCACAAGTCTTTGCAATTTCTAACCAACTATCTAAAATCAGTTTATCAATTAATAAAATAAATTCAAAAATATCTAGAAAGAAACATTTGAAATTTAAGGAAAAATAATTATTAAAAAAGAAATGTCATTGATTATATACATCAAAGATTTTTCTTTTTTAAATTTTAAATGTTTGTTTCTGTATGATACTTTAAAATGTTTAGTATGCATACAATATAGTAATTATATTGTATGCATACTAAACATTCGATTATATATTACTTACTAAAATATACGTAATAGTTTTAAAACACAATACTTCTTAATCAGAATCAGTCATATTATTTGGTAGAATCGTTTTCACATGAGGTAAATTCATAAAATAATCATGATATATTGTTGGAATGGCATTGCTATTACATAAGCTTATTAAATCTTTGTAATTTGCTGTAGATAAAGGCAAAGGTGCATTATAAGCCGTTGAAATCGGTAGCTCTTGTTCACTGTTTTGAGGTTCCTTGGTAGCGCGACGAGTAACTGCCCGAAGAGAAACTGTCTTAATATCTTGAGCTAGATTTATAGCCATTTCATTCTCGCTTAGATAATCATATTGAAATTTAATTATATTAGGTAAGCTACTGATAAAATGAATATGCATAATTTTACTCCAGGAGGCTTTCACATGGTTAACGTCGTGTTCCCTATTTTTGTAACATGGCAAAAGTTGTTTAAAATCCAATATATTGTCTTGGTTTACTTCCTTGAATTCATACGGCTCACCACTAGATTTAGCGCATCTTATCAAAGTCACCCATTGCTGAGGTACGTAGATAATTTTATGTTTTTTCCTTCGCTCAATAAGTGCATGCATCGCGTCACCCTCTGATTGTGAATGTCCAACTTCAAAGAAGTGATGATTTATATTTATATTAAATATTCTGCTAGCATATGCATACATTGCGAATACTGTCCTATTTTTATTCTGACCGCCACAGCTATCAGAATAAAAATTAAACTCCTTGTATCCTTCCTGAACCCTAGTTTTTATGAAGTCGAATACAAAACTACTTATTTCGTTCTACTTTGCGTCCGATCGTCTCGTCCCACAAGTAGCAATACCCTTTATGTTTACCCATATCATAGATCGTGAAGTTATATGTAGCAAGTTTTCTTTTGTAGTAAAATACCGACACTTCTGAATGAGGAGTATTCAAAATTTTTTGTAAATCATAACAAGCTGTTACAACAGAATCAGAGCGTTTAGCTCTGTGTTTGTCACTATCTTTTAAAGACCTGACCACATTTTTGTTTGCAATATGTAAAGCGTACTCATACTCTAGCTTAGTTTTGTCAGTCTCAGTTGAATTTTTAAATAAATCACACCTTGGACATTGGTCTTTTTTTGGTTTGTTAAAGTCTATATTAAAATCTGTCTTAAATATCTCCCTATACTGTCTTGAAGTCGCAACGACCTGATCGGAATGTTTTTCATTCATCGATTCCAAATAAAGTTTGTATAGTATTGGAAAGTTCAGTTGTTCATCCAGATACTGTTTAGATGTCCTGTTTCTCACATAGTGTGAGTCTACTAATGGCATTCGTGCAATATGGTCTCTAAAAGATTGTTTGACTTGATCTGGAACGGCATTTTTGCGCGTGCCGTGTCTACCTCTTTTATCGTTTATTATAGTACCTGTAGCAGACTTATCATTTTTTTTAAATAAAGTCTGCAACCACATATCGCTTATAGAGAGGGTGTTTAAAAACATCGTCTTACAGTTTCGTATTTCTTGACCTTCTATAAACAAATTGTATTCAAAAGACCACTTGCGCCTACTGGATGAGGCCGAGGCGGCAATATCTTGTTTTTTTGGGAATCTTCTAACAAATCGGCTAATATAATCCATTTGTTTATTATGATCTCCCAGTTCCCAGAAGTTTTTAAATATTAAACTTCTCTGGTTTTCTGTGATTGCTTCTCGACATTTACGTGAACAATTAGCACCACAGTCTGGTTTCATAATTTTTTCGCTATTAACTGCCCTTTTCTATTTATAAATTCCTCGCCCAAATTTTTCTTTCGTTTACATGTTTCAGCCTTCCAATTTTCTTTATTCAAAAATTCTTCGTTCCTGAGTTAACTTTCTTCGGATATTTCTTTTTTTCTTTATCATTAATGTGTGATGAAATTCTAGGCTCTCCTACGTTAGTTTGACTTCCATTCCCTATTACATTACTTTGCTCTTTGGAGGTTCGTATTCCATATTCTATTGCATCACTAAGTTCTTGGTTTTGCACTAAAAATACAACAGGACATTATTAAATCGCTTTTAAAAATAAATATCTTTATTTCATCGTTTTACTGCTGTTATACTCGTAGTATTCAAGTAGGTAAACTTACCAATTTCACGTAAAATATCCTCTATTGATTCATTATTGTAATTTTCTATGAATTCATCATTTATTGATTCTGTATCGGCATCAGGGGTTAAAACAGATGGAGCTGAAAACATGTGACATTAAATTTCAATAACTTGTTTTTTTTTGTGACCGAAAAATCAATTTTAAATTTTAAGCTGCCAATACAACGAATACTGATACCTACACAATATGTCAATATTTAACCTAGATCAGGATTAATTTGGTTGTACCATACACACGAACTTTGGTAATATTTACGATACTTAATGTAATAAAAAATACCTACCGTTTTCTTGAGGTGGTAAATATTCTGAAACTACTGTTGAGTGAATCTCTTCGGATTCATTGGAGACTGTTTGATCATTCTGTATTTTTACCGGAGTGCGTTGTCTCAGGTTATATTTAAAACTTAGTAAATCATTTCCTATAAATAAAACCATAACATTAATCCACATTAACTGTGTAGAACGTAATTAACACAAACCTAACATACTTCCAGTCCAGGTTCATACGTAATTTGAATGGACTTTATATATACGTACCTGTCTCAACAAAATTTGGTGACATCCTCCTTTCCAGTGGTACATTATTCTCAACGTCATTATTTCGATTGTTCACATGTTCGTCTACTAAAAATCGTCTATTGCAGTTTGTACATAAACTAATAATATACCTCAAAATTACTGCATGTAGATATTTATGAGGTCAATCATAATAATCATGTGAATACTATAGTACATATTCTAAATTGCAAATAAGATGTTATAACAATAAGTAGATGATATGTAAATATTTAAAAATAATGATCATTTACTAACCAGCGTTACTGTCCGTAATTTCACTTTTAGCTAAAGCTAACGCAATTATCTTACTATGGCGACTCATTTTTTTAACTGTTTTCATATTAAAACAATCCAATATTGTATGCAAGTTCCGGCAAAAAACACGTCGTAACTTGTACACAACATCAATAACACGTGCGAGGGGCGTCTGAGGAAGCGATCAAGAATCTATGCATCGAAAGTTTAATAACCTATCGTTAAACAAACACAACCCGAAAATTATTGCAGAGAACACAATTGTAACTTATGTTACAGTCTTTGGACTGATATTTTTTATTTTCTGTTTAAAGATTAAAACATCGTAAGCAATTTTACGATGAAAGCTTTTTTATTACGAAAATATAATTGTCAAGAACAAGAGAGTATCTTGTATTGCAATTATTGTTATGTAATAAATTATTGTCAGGCATAAGTAAGTATGTGTAACTAAATATACCTTTTTATTACCTTCAGTGGACACTGACTTACAATATTTTTCTACTAGCCAAAATCGTAACGCGAATGAATTTAGATACAGGGGTGAGCGCAAGTAAAAGAGAATTTTTTATTTACTGAGAATATGATCGTAACTCAAAATCGCTAAAAAGTGACTTACGATGTTTTTCCTTGCAGGTGTCGATTTCTCTAAAATAAATTTTAAAACAAAACATATTCATAAACTTATAAAATAATTAAAAACTAAAGACTAAGCAGGTAAAGTACACTTATCACTAAATTGATAACAAAGCTATAAAAGACAGAAAACGAATATCTTAAATTAAATTAATAATGAATAAATATTAAAAAAAAATTAAGATTAATAATTAATACTAAACTAAATATTACTACTACTAATACTACAGGTCGTCGATGGCATTCAGTAGCCAATATTTGAATTTGTTTTTAAAAATTTGTTTTGTCCGACAGGCCTCTTGTGGCACGTTTTCATTAAATATTCTTGGCACTAAATACCTACGCGTCCTTTCACCAAAGTAGTTTTGCGCACTTGGTTCCTCAAAAAATTTACGAGTATTCTTTCTTAAATTACAATAAATTGATTTCCTAACTAAAAATTTACTTTCGTATCCTTCAATTGCTAATAAATACTTTGTTTTTTTCACGTACTGGTAGAATATTGCATTTCTTAAACAATAGATTATAGTTACCCTCACTTTTCTCTTTAGCTTGCTTATTAACTAACAGTTTAATAAATCTTAGTTGTAGATTATGTATCCTATCCATGTACGTTCGGAACGTAAGTCCATAGGCCGAAAGGCCATAATTAATTACAGAATCCACGAGAGCATAGTACAGAATGCGTAAAGTTGTTTTATCAACTACACTTTTAAGGTGTACAAACTTACATAATAACGATCTTAATTTATTACATACTCGTTCTATATGGGAATTCCAACTAAACTTAGTATCTATGGTTAATCCTAGATATTTGTAATTATCAACAAGCTCAATCGATTTACAACCAATGCATTGTTTATTTCTATGCAAGCAATCATACGAATGGCCTATGATATTTATAGGTATACATGGTTTATGCAGGTATGGCGATTGAATGAGCATGCATTTCGTTTTCTCTATATTTAAAATTATTCCATTATCGTGGGACCATTTGATTACGTTATCAAAATCCGATTGTATTTTGTTCTCAATCACCTTTATATCCCTGTCAGCATACATCATGCATGTGTCTTCAGCATACATGTATGTTCTGCAGTGTTTTACAACGTTTACCATACTATTTACATGCATGATATAGCCAACAGGGCCAAACACAGATCCAGTAGGAACTCCAGTACTAACTAATTTACCATGACAAATGGTTTCTTTTATCTTTGTGCACAACATTCTGTTATGTAAATAATTACGAAACCAAGAGCTGATTGGCCCGCGGATTCCGCACTCTTCCATAGCCACCAACAGCTGCTCATGGTCCAGCGTATCAAACGCTTTTTTTAAAATCTATGAATAAAAGAAATACATACTGCTTACTATCTAAGCATTCGTTGATATCGTCGGTGAAAATAGATAAGGCCGTCGTTGTACTACGTAATTTTCTAAATCCGTGCTGCTTTTCTGTAATTATGCAGTTTTTTTCTAGATACTCACTAAGTCTCTTTACTATCACTTTCTCCACTATTTTATTAATAACAGACAATATTGCAATAGGTCTATAGTTTGAATAATTGCAATGGTCTCCTTGCTTATAAACAGGGCGGATAATAGACTTTTTTAAACTGTCTGGGTATAAGCCTGTTTTAAAACTAAGGTTTACAAATTTTGCCAATATTGGACTTATTTTTTCTTTAACTAAAATTAAATCTTGCGGCCTTATTCCATCTAAACCTGGTGATTTTTTACTATTTAGTTGACTAATTATTTTTTTTATTTCAATTTCGGTTACCTTTTTATAATAGAAAGTGGTATCACTCGATTTTACATAGGACTCGCGATATGAAATTTAATATTACATTGATGTTTTATTTTATTAATTTCTTTTGTAAATGTTTCTGAGAATTTTGAACATATGTCACGTAAACTATTGATTTTTCCTAGATACTTAATTACTACGTCATCTAAACTATTTTTACTATTTTTACTAGTCAGCAATTTATTGTTTCCCATAATTTCCTAAAGTCTCCCTGACAGCGTGATAGTTCCTGCCTTCTATAATTATTTTTAGCTTTGTTAATAATTTTATTTGTTTGATTTCTGTGTTTCGTATATTCTAATCTGTAAGTAACATTTTGAGGACTAGTCTTCCACCTGCGGAATAAATAATTTCTTCTATCTATCAATATTTTAATTTTCTTAGAGATCCACGGCTGTATTACTCGTTTTTTTCTATTACAATTAAGGCTAACTTTAGCTTTATCGTAGATAGGTGCAAAAACATTACACAATTGTTCATAAATTATAAGAGGACAGTCTATCTCTACGAGCTTACTACAATCAACCTGCTCTAACTCACGAGTTATTACTTTATTATTCAAAGTATACATTTTATATTTGCCACTAGTAAGACTTATTCTATTTACCCCTTTTGATTCTTTGGTAATACTTACACCTACCATATAGTGATCCGACAACTTGCACGTAAACATATGTGAAGTGAATCGGCGGCTGCGTGTACGTACCCACACATGATCAATGCACGACGTTACGAGTCTACCGGCTAATATTTCCTCGCGAGTACAGTCATTGATAACGCTCTGCATTCCGTAACTATACATTGCGTTTTTGTATTTATCGGTGGTTGTATTTTTTTCTAATAAGTTGATATTCATATCACCTGCAATAATGACGTCCTCGTATTTGGGAATTTGCTTAATTAGTACAGATAATTCTTGAATACAGCATTACTTATTTGTGTTTGGCGGTTTGTATACGGTGATTATGTGTATGGTGGCGTCAGAGCTCTTAAATTGGCTGTGCAATATTTCCAAACCACAGCTTTGCGGGTTTACTGTTTGCAGGCGCAATTCATTTTTAGAGTACACTAATAAGCCTCCTCCTCGTCGATTTTCTCTTATAAACCCGTGCATATCATACCCATCTATACAATATAACGGCAGCTCCGCTTGTCTGATATTTATTTCACTTAATAATAAAATGTCTATACTAAAATTAGTGCGCTCAAGCAATATTAGCAATTCATTAAACTTCTTCCTAAGAGAACGAATATTTAGGTGAACTATTTTTAGGTCCTCCGTGGTTGTTTTTAAGTATGTGCTCCACGTATTTGCATCTAGAAACTTTTTATAGTCATATTTATCCACGATGTGTGATAAAATATCATCCATTTTGTGGATTTAGGTATTCACATACAGTGAGCTTCCACAATACTAATTTATTGTGTTTTATTTACTATACGCTGCTGTTATCAGTATTGAAACACATATTATTGATATCTGCATCCGAACGGATCCAGCGTATTTTTGAGTTACCGTCTTTTTTAGCCAAAACTTTAAGGTTTTGTGGCCATATGTGTTTATAGACGTCTTTTAACATTTTCTTCGCGTTCCATAACAATTGTCGCGTATTTTTAGGAAGATTTTCATTTATATACACCCGCTTGCCATTGTTGTTGCCGAGAATTTCCTTATTATATACTAACACTTTTCTTTGCTTTAGCCATTCATCTCTAGCTTGCTTGGTTCGTAGGGTTACGACTATAGGTCTCGGCCTACCCTCTTCTTTCTTTTCTCGACCTACCCTCTTTGCGTCCTCTATATTACCAATGTTTAAATTTAATTTCTCTGCAACAATTTCAACAATTTTCTTTGTATCTTCCTTCTCTGACTCATCCAGGCACGCTATTTCAATATTTTTCTCCACTTCTCTTTGTTCCAAAAACATTATCCTCTCTTCTAAAGAGTCGTTGCACTTTTGTAAATACTTATTTCTATTTTCCAAAGCAGTCATTTTCTTCTCCGCGGCTTCCTTAAAGTTAAGCATCATTTGGTACTGTTCAGCGTAGAAATCCACGGCCTCTGTTAGGTCATCAATTTTCTTTTGTGTTTGATAAATTATTTCCAGTTTTTTTATTGACCTCTGCTAGAAGCGTTTCGGCACTAGCTTTCCCAATATCTACATTAATTTTAGGTACTTGCGTTTTAGGGCTGATTTCACTTTTGAGACATGATTCACACAGCTGGGTTCTTTGGAATTCCTTTACGTTCGATAAGCATTTTTTGTGATACACAGAATCACATGAACCTTTACACTTAATAACATCATCTTTTGCTAAAGAAACAAATAACTTGCACTTTCTACACTGAACCATTTTACGTCCGTACGCTGAGTGCGCGCGCGCGGACTTTTTTTTCATTTGTATAGGTACAGATTATTTATTTACTTATCGTAATAATATACTATATTTATAAGAATATAAAAACTATAAACTGACATTATCATACAATCCTTCTCCCCAGGATAACTATACTCGCCACTATTCCAAGTCCGTCAGCTGCATGGCTGAAAGACTACACTAATGGGCAAGTACTCCAACAGCGTTTCGAACAGCGAAACTTGAGCAGCGTTTGAGTA